ACATACACTAGGCTATATCAGCCCCACCAAAAATATTTTTCACCAGCCGCCACTGCCTCCGACGTCATCACCCTGAACACCAGCACCCCCCCAGGGCTGTGTCCTGAGCTCCCTGCTGTTCACCCTGATGACCCACGACTGCCGTCCACGCCTCAGGTCCAACCACATCCTGAAGAACGCGGACGACGCCACAGTAGTGGGCCTCATCCGGGACAACAACGAGACGGCCTACAAGGAGGAGGTGCGGCATCTGGTAGACTGGTGCAGAGGGAACAACCTGATCCTGAACGTCAAAAAGACCAAGGAGATTATCTTCGACTTCAGGAAATCCAAACCCACCCACACACCCCTCCTCATCAACGACTCAGCTGTGGAGGTCGTCAGCAGCACCAAGTTCCTGGAGGTGCACATCATTGACAACCTTAGCTGGTCACCCCACATCTCCTCACTGGTGAAGAAGGGCCAGCAGCGCCTGCACTTCCTGCGTCGGATGAAGAGAGCATCCCTCCCGCCCCCCATCCTTCAGACCTTCTACAGAGGGATCATCGAGAGCTTGCTGACCAGCTACATTTGCATCTAAAACCACCCCAAATGGACATGGACAATACACACACCTTAGTTTAGTTTTGTCTTCAATTTAATGTTTCTTTTAGCAATAGCTCAGTGCAATATTTATTGATGTTACTTCTTGCAATAGCTCAGTGCAATATATATGCATATATATATACTTCTTTACCCTGTATATAGCTAGCTCTTAGCTCTTAGTTGTAGAAAACATATTTACTGTGCAGAAATAAGGTCTTAGCTCTGTTACACTGGTAGCCAAGTAATCAACATTTCGTTGTCAAGATTCACCTTGTGTTTTTTTGTGCAATGACAATAAAGGACGTCTAAGTCTATCTGTGTCTGGCTGAATTCTCAGGGCCTCAGAATGTCTGGTCGTTACAGGTTTCACCAAAAGAACACCTCAGTTAATTAATGTCAGTGACGCACAGGTTTAATTAATCAGTGTAGACGCAAACCTAAACAGGCCGTAATCACAGAGTTTATTGATTAACTATGTCACTACCCGTACCATACCATCAGCTCGTTTCCACATGTGCAAGCAGATAGTCATCCAGGTCACCATAAGTAATGTAATTATGGTATTAAAAGTACCTATTTTGGTCCTTAAATCACTAAAGAATGCTAATACACACATTATTTTTTAAATGATTTTTCTGAGACAATTTGATGCTTTTTACATTTTCTCAATTAAACAGCTTATCTGACATCATCGTGGGACATGCTCAGAGCAGTCCAGCAAATGATTAAACCATGTTTATCTGCATTTTAGTTGTTTCTTTCTTTAGATTACAAACTACATACCTTAATGTTAACATGAAAGGAAAACATAAAACTCAAAAAGACTAGATTTATGTTAGGGTGACCAGATTTGGGTTTCTGAAAAGGACACTTTTTTTTGGGTGGGGAGGTAACCTGCTGGGCCGGACCGGGTACTCCAATCCGTCAGCTCCGGGTCCGGAGGGAAGCATACCGTCACCAGGTGTAACTTTGTGATGAAAGTTGGTGCGTTGGATATGGATATAAATTGGAAATGCTGCATTTTAAATATAGCATTTCTTTCTTGTAAAATTTCTGGTAAACTTGGAGATATATTTTATTGCATGTTGCATATCCCAGTAAATCTGTTTCACCTTTAAATCTGCAGCTCTCCCTGCTTCTCTCTGTGCTGTTTAAAAAGATTTATGAACTTCTTTTCTAACATAATAATGCCAGAAACTAAATTTCAAGATATGTAGAAGCTCTGCAGTCTGATTCTATCTGTTCAATAAGAAAACGTGTTCATTTTAACCTGTAACTGGGAGTCATGGTCCTCTGAGAAGCCAAGCT